TATCTCCCCCCGGCCGGGGAAGGAGGGCGAGACGTGCCGAGCATCCAACACGGCGCGGTCGGAGGCGGCGCTGGGCGACCTGAGGCGCGTCCGGGTGGAGCTGGACTGCGACGAAGGGGAGCTCTCCTTCTACGACGCCGACCGCAAGACCCACCTCTACACCTTCCACGAGAAGTTCGGCGGCACCGTCTTCCCCTACTTCTACGTCGGGGGGACGCCGGTGGGCGCGCTGCCCGAGGCGCTCCGCATCTGTCCCCTCCAGGTCCGCGTCCACGAGGATGTCCCCGTCTAGCGGCCACCACCTCTGCCTGCCTTTGGGGTTCTCCAGGTGCTCTTGCAGCTTTCTTCAGAAGAGGGGGAAAAAAAATATATATATAAGGGCAAAAAGAATGTATGTATGTATGTATGTACTGCCTATTTTTTTGTTTTAATTGTTAATAAACACGCTCCTCTTTGGCTCTGGCTCTGCCCCTCTCTGTCCCCAAATCCCCTCCGTATGCCTTTCCTGCCCCTCTCCATCACGGATCAAAGCTGGGAAGGCTTTGGGGAGAAGGTATCTCCTTGCCAGGGGGCTGTAAATACTAAGTGATACCCTCTGGAGCCTTTCCAAGCTTGTGCTGTGGCTTGCAGGGCTCTGAGTCTCCCTGTGGTGGGTGAAGCGGGGGACAGTGGCTCTTGCCCCCACACCTTGAGGACAAGAAAATCCCACATGGCTTGGCTGGGTGCAGGTAGATGCATGTGTTTTCCTCTCTCTTGAGAAAAAAAACAATGGGGACACCCTTGAGAGTAACAAGCCACCTCCTCCGCCCCCTTCTCCCTGTGACTTTCGCCCCCTGAAGGGCTTTTCTGTCAATCCCCAGCTCTGGGAGTCAGGTGATGACGCGCCATCGGCGTTGGGAGGTGGAGGAGCCGCGGAGGTGAGATGGGGAGAGACAACCCCCCCCACCCTTTGCAACCTCCTGCTGGGTCTGGCTCGCCGTTAATCCTGCCAAAAAGGCTTTTTTCCTCCACCCTGGTGAGCACTGAGGGTCTAGAGGTGACGCCCTGCGGAAAGCGGGGGGTGCCTGGTGGGTTGGGCTCCCCTCGCGGCCGGGTGGCCAGGACCTCGCTGGCGGGATGCTGCTATTAACGGGCGGTTTCCATGGTTTCTCACCATTTGCATAGGATGCTCCTTAGGAACGAGAGCTGGCAGCCGAAAAACAAAAGGGAGATGTTGGAGGCGGGAGGTGCGGGGGCGACCCCGGGGGTCCTCCGCCCCCCCTTACGTCAGCTGACGTTACCTCAGTTCCAACCGAGCAGCCCTGGATACGGGGACAGGAGGAAAATAGGGGCGAGCATCCCACCTCCCTCCACGTGCCGTACCCCGATGCTGCCCACCCCCTTCTGAAAAGCTGGTGCTGCCTGGAAATTTGGGCATCCCGTGGCCAATTTGGGCAACCTGCTGCCAATCTGGGCATCCCGCGGCCAATTTGGGCATCCCGCAGCAAATTTGGGCGTCCCGTGGCGAATCTGGGCATCCCGTGGCCAAGTTGGGCAACCTGCTGCCAATTTAGGCAACCTGCAGCCAATCTGGGCATCCCGTGGCCAATCTGGGCATCCCGCAGCCAATTTGGGCAGAAGCAAGTGTTATTTGGGAGCAACAAAAAGCCGCTGAATCTCTTGGAGTTCCTTGGGCTGGAGCAGGACGAGGCGTTTCTCTTTTGTCAGGTCTGAGGGGAGCTTTTCCCTCCCGCGGCTGCGAGGGCCAGAGCAGGTGCCTGGTGTGAAAAAAAAGGCAATAAAGGGTGAAACGAGGCATCACGTCGGATGGCTGAACTGGAACAATTTAGCTTTTTTTTCTTTTTTCCCCCGAATCATTTGGTGAAAAATCGGTTTGCAGGGAACGATATGAATTGATGAAGTAGTTGGCTCCCGAAAACTGTGTTTTTTAGAGTAATAAATGGTACCAACATCTTCCCCTCAGCTTTATTTCATCCCCACAGAGGCAGAGAAATGGCTTGAAGTGGAAGCCAAGCTGGTCCTCCCACCGACACAGACCTCCCCTCCGGAGCTGGCCCGGGAGTCAGCGCCCAGCCTGCACCCACGGGCGATGTCTCCCCGGCACTGAGCATTTGCTCGCGCGTCCGACGTTGGAGGGCAAATTTCGGGAAAGCTCTGGTAAGGGACAGGTGGGTTTTGCGTGGGACCCTCCTGTGCAGCCATCGCATCCTTCCCCGACGCCTGGGACACGGCAGGACCTTTTCCACGCTCAAACCTTGCAGCAATTAGAAGGAACTCATTAATTATTATCCTTATTCTTATTATAATGGCATTATTTTTGGCTGCTCATGCCGAGGATGTGGAGCGAGGGGTGGGGAAGGGGGAGTGAATCCAACCAGGGGAGGG